GTATTCACATTCACAATGGAGAGCCTCAGGTTCTGTATCAATTTGGTGAAGTCCCCAGATCAATTACCTAAAAGATACTGAGAAAGCTGTTTAGACATAATCTCTCTTCTGTCTAAAAATGGTCATGGCGCTCGGACTTTCTACTGGAACAGGAACATAACTGGGCATCCTGGTTACCAGGGTAAAGGAAATTTACTTCCATCCCAGCATAGGGAATAGAAGCATACTTGAGACGTGTAATTTAACTTCCTTCATTAAGGCCGGCAGAGGTGCTATCACTTATCACAAACACAAAAGGAGGCCAGACACACACAAGGGTGGAGGCAAAAGACAGATTCCTTCCCAGAGCAACCAGCTTAAAGGTGCTCTCAAACAGACTTGATGTATTCCATTGAAAGGAGGCATTTCCCGCCCCTCCTCCAGTAATCATAGCTAAAGGGGAAAGCTCAGTGCAGCTACCATTAACAACACAAAGCAGCCAATGATCAAAAGGATTAGAAGCTCCATGTTGATTGGGATTTTGATAAGTCTAATTATAGCTAGGATCTGTTTCATTATAGATAAATTCCCATCTAGCCTAAAACTAACATTACCTTCTATTGGACTAATGTCTTTATCTAAAGGCAAATAAGGTAAATTCAAGCATAAATTGCTACTAAAAAACCTAGGAAAAACTTGAGCAAAATGCCTAATTGGCATGGGCTTTGGGAACACTGACAGGATTCCCCACCGCTGATCACCTGCCATCTCGCCCATCAGCATCACCATCATCAGCATCAGGTGAATCAACCTGCCTTTGGACCTCGCCATCTTCGGGAGCAGGGACTCGTCTGGTCAATCTTTTAGGAACCAACAGAGGGTTTTGATGATCTAGTCGACTGCCCTGACTGCAGGAAGTTCAGAGCCATTCACCCACGGAGAGCGGTTCCCCGTATGGGCCACCACTTGTCTATCACGACCAGCAAAAGAAACACGTCCACGACTCTTCTTCAAGCAGTTTATTTAGGAACCTTGTACATCAGCTCTCCCCCCCCCCCGCAAGCCCTTAAAATCAGTGTCATTACCAATTAGCTCACTCCACCTGGCTGGCGATCTCAGATAGGTCACAGCTGGAGGAGGCACACCAGATCCACAAAGCGCTTCCAAATCAGGCTTGTTTAGAGCTAATCTTGGTATCCCTGGCATCCAGCCAGGCACCATCTTGGGGCTGTGGCTCCCCACATTTCCCTGCATGTATTTGGGTACGTGTGAATCCCTGTGTATGTTTTTTCAGTGTTTTCCTATGTATGTTTGGATGAAAATGCCTGTGTATGTTTGCCTCCATATGTATTCAAGGCATGTGTGCATGTTTGGCAAAAACATGTGTGGCTGTACTTTGTGGTGTCTCAGGATAGATGTGAGTCTGTCTGTCTGTCTCATGTGTGTGTCGGTGTGTATGAATATGTTGCATATCTTTCTATGGTGTCTGCATATATGCCTCTTTATGTATTCGGCAGGTTCCTATGAGGGAAGTAAAATTCAAGGAACATTATTATAATCTTTTTTATCCATTTAATTTCACTGAGAAGGCTCCCCTGGGCACCTGCCATAATGTTGCATTTAAGATAAAATCAGAATTTTTTCTTCAATAAAGGACAAACAGGGTATAGGATGATGTCTGTCTTACAGGTGAATGCATTTCTGAAGAAGACGCAATTCACAAATCCTGTTGGGGACAGAGTGAATTTAAACCCAAAAGAAGAACTTCAGGAAGAGTATGACATTTTTCAGATTTGGAATTTCCCACATGGTCTTAGATTTAAGGTTAAGATAGGACAATATAGCCCTTATTTTACACATGGTCAACAGCTCCATGTATATGAAGATATGATAGAATTGTCCACAGGAAATAGACAGGTGGGTCTGACCAAATTGTAATGATTTTCATTATACAGCAATAACACTGTCAAGTGGGTACATCTGTGTTTCCTTGATACTTAATGTAATAAACTTTCATATTATGAAACAATGTTAAGCCTCCTACTTTAATCTTCTCCTTTTCTACTCTTTGACATGACACCTTATTAATTTTCTGAGGATTTCCAACATGTATACAGTGCACTTTGTGATATCCAATCCTGATTCTAATTATAAATATGAATATAAACAAGTTGTAAAATGATATAATATAATTTCAAGTAAAGTAAGAAATAGTCACTTGGTAACATACTGATTAACATACAGTGGTTTCTTTCCTTGTGTTGAATCTTGGGTACAGATGTTGAATATTTAGGCTGTTGTATGATGGAGTAATTAAAATTACACAAACCATTCATTATTATTATTTTATTGTTTTTAATACTTTTAACAAACAGCTTCTATATTGTCAATAACTTTAACCATAGATTGACATTTTCAGGATGCATATTAGATATTCTATCAATTATTAACTTGCTTTTCCTTTTGTTTTTCTTTCTTTTGGACAGGGATATTTTGTCCTCATGTATGCTTGCAACTGCTGTGAATGTGGTTCATATTGATGACAGAAGAATTATTTGAATCCCTAGGGAATGGAGAAATATTAGATCCACACAGTAACTGCTAGAAACAAACTTGAGTCCCATTCATGAGCAGGATTTATTACCTAAAACTGAATCATGTCTCCAACTCTAAATCACACAGTATAAAATTATTTTATTGCTAGAGATACCTTGCTTGCTCAGATTAATTATTTCATAGTTCATTCAAGCTAATTAGGTAGTTCCTACGTTTCTTCTCCTTATTTGGAGCATTGTTAGTTAAAGAAATTGTTTTTGAGGAAATTTGTATATGAAATACACCGTGTTGATCATGGGTATTTGTATTTTATAGGGATGAAGTCTGATATGGGTGGGTTTTTTTGCTTTCTTTTTGATTTTCAAGACAGGGTTTCTCTGAGTAGCTTTGGAGCCTATCCTGGCACTTGCTCTGGAGACCAGGCTGGCCACAAACACACAGAAATTTGCCTGCCTCTGCCTTCCAAGTGCTGGGATTAAAGGCATGTGCCACCAACACCCTGCTGTGATATGGGTGGTTTTAAGCTATCCAATTAAAACTGCCTAGTACAAATTAGGTTGATTTTTTTTCTTTTTTCTTTTTTGGTTTTTCGAGGCATGGTTTCTCTGTGTACCTCTGGAGCCTATCCTGACACTCGCTCTGGAGACCTGGCTGGCCTCGAACTCACAGAGATCTTTGTGCTTCTGCCTCCCAAGTGCTGGGATTAAAGTCTGTGCCACCAACGCCCAGCCTAGGTTGATTTTTTTAAAGACTGTAATTTCATCAAACCCTCAAGAAAAATCTGAAGTGTTATCTCAGGTTACCTAGATATTATGAATCTTAGAGTTTTGGTTCTTTCTTCAATTGTGAGAATGGTTATACTCAGCACAAGAACATATAAGCTGACGGTGTAGCTACTGATCTATATATTCACATAATGAGCAGCAAGGAAAGCACCTATCTATTCTACCAACACCTGGCTTGAGTACTGCAAATCATACACTGGAAGAACACTTGGCATTAAAAACAATTAAACCAGTGCTCTGCTTTCAGAAATGCAAATTAAAACGTAGAATCAAACAAAAACAAATGAAGAGGAATTTATCAAAGCAATGTGACTCAAAATCTTATAGTCATAAACTTACAGGATAGTAGGCTTAATGACATACTGAACAAGGAAATACAAGAATGATTATTAGTGTGGTCCAGAAAAATTAAAGGGGACACAAATCATTTCTTGGAGAAGCAATGTGTCCATGAAAACTTGTATACAATTAGACAATTAATGATCATGCAACAAAAGATATCTATAAATGCACAAAGTAATAAAAAGTTGAAACTAAATTATATAAAGGTAAAGCAAAAAAAATCAAATAAAACACTGTCAGTTAAAATAACAAGAGAATATTTGAAATTGAAGTCAGAATGGAAGACTTGAAGAACATTAGTCAAAATAGAAAATTCGAAATATGACAAAATATCAGAAAAGGAATAAAAAGCCTAGGACATCAAGGCAATATGAATAAAGATCTAATTTATAAACCCCTGGCTCAAGAGCGGAAGGAAACAGTAAATTCATTAACATTATATCCAGTAAAATTAGGATTACAGATCTAAAATAAAGCATGATATGTAGCCATATGTATTTCATACTAATTTAAATACCAAAGATTCATCATCGGAAAGAAGGACTTTTGATTTATTTTATTTAAAATTTTTATTCCAAAAAAGGATGAAATTTGAGGGCTGCAGAAGAGTAGTTCAGGTTATAAAAGGGTTCATCTGGATGACAGCAGATTCTACTGAGAATGCTTTTTTTTTAGAAGCATTCATTTTTTTACAAATCCACCTACCCATTCCCTTTCCCTCACATCCTCCCCACCAATCCCCAACACACCTGCTACTCCCTCCCCAGGGATAGTGAGGCCCTCCATGCGGGACACTCAAAGTCCATCACATCATTTGATGGAGGGCCCAGGCCTTCTTCCTATGTCTAGATTTCAATAGTATCCTTCCAAATGGAATAGGCTCCCAAAGTCCATTTGTGCTGCAGGGATAAACACTGGCACCACTCTTAGAGGTCCCATAGACATTCTTGGCTTCCTAGATGACACCCACATTATGAGACCTTCCTTTGGTCCAACGCTGGATCCCCAGCCTTAAGACTAGCGTCTAGGCGCTCTTACTAGGTCAGGTCAACTGTTTTTGTCGGTTTCTCCAGCAGGTCTTTGTCTCTTTTGCTCATCCCAGCTCCCTCTCCAGAACTGGATTCCAGGAATATGGCTTACTGTTTAGCTTTGTGCTCCTGTTTCTGCTTTGATCAGCTACTGGATGAAGTCTCCAGGAATGATAATCACGGTAGTCATCAGTCTGTGAATACTCTTAAAAGTGGAGAGTAAAAGTGATATGTTTCAAATACTTAGAGACATATGCTGCCAATTCTAGGTACTACACAATGCAAAATTATCGCTGATTAAAGAAAGAGAACAAAGTTCATTAATGCAAACAATTACAGAATGCATAATCAATGAAGCAACACTATGAAAGTACTTGAAGAACCCTTGCAGACAAATCATAAAGATAAACACAAGAGTTAAAAGAAACATATAGTCATCATTGGAACAATAGACAGACGATCAGCTATAGGAAAAGTATGAAATATTGTAATAGACAAAAGATAATAATTTACAAATAGATTTCTAAACGAATTTAATGTTCATGGTTATATTTTCTAATCAAAATGCAAGACAATAAAATTGGTTTAAAAAATTCTTTTGCTACTTCCATGGAGAAAATATGTTAGAAACCTTCTGTAACAGGAGGAAATGTTTTGCTATGAAAGGAAATTGATAAAACTAAATACAGGGAATGATTTCTTGGATGGACATGGAAGTATAATTTGGGACTAAACACCTACCACAAGATCTCAACAGCACAAAATAAAGATCAGTTTCTGGAAAAAGAGATGTCTTTATTTCAAGAATGCAAGCTTGCTTCAAGATATGCGGAAATTAAGAGTAAAATGCCACATAAATAAACACAACTATAGAATTCATTTATTATCTCCAATTGTGTACAAAGCTCTCTTAGCAAATCCCAAACTTCATTCAAATTGAAAAAAAAAAAAACCTAAAAGAAACAAAGCCTGACAGAATTCAAGGAAGACATATTGACTTATTAAAGTTTTCTGTGGCACGCATATTGACAACATTGTAACACATGGAGTGAAAAGTCAAAGAACATCCATTAAAGTGAAGTAGAGTAAGGTGTGTATTATGGTGCATGTCTTTAATTCAGACTCTTGGACAAAGAATCAGGGAGCTCTTTCCTTTTGTAATAAGCCTCAACTACATGGGAAGCTCAAGCCAGACAGACATCTATAAGTGAAATGAGCAGAAAATGCAAAATGGTGTGCATTGTCTCCACTGTTATTCAAAATAGTGCATAAAACATCAAATAAAACAATAAATGAAAAGAAGAGATATACAAAAATGAAGGAATGGAATTTGTCATGGTTAATCAAGTTTACCAAACCATACTAAACACTGAGACTTGCTTCAAAAAAACAACAACAGAAAAGGAAGCTTTGTAGTTCTACAAATTTTGTAGAACATGAGATGATCCTGTGCTTAGGAGATGGTTTTATTTTGACATAGAAGTCAGCACAAAACAAAAGATACAAAGTGAGCAAGCAAGAATCAGCAACCTTCTAATTATCATATAGATGCCCATCACCGGGATCATGGTAATTAAAAATAATGTAAACACTTTTAAAATTAAGAAATATGTCAATTAACTTTAAACAAGGTAATTTTTATTGAGGCTCCCCCTGCATTTGAAGTCTTTGTAGAACTTTTCACATTGGGAAACAATTTACTTCCAGATCAATGCATATGAAGTGTGCACTTCCTTATGACTAAATACACTGGGCTCTGTCTACACAGCTCTTTGCTCCTCACACTCTCTGTGTCATTCTTGCAGTACTTTTGTGTTGGAGTTAATGTGTGTTGTCTGAGATTCATGAGATTTTTCCCTTTTTTCAGAAGCTCATTCATCCTAGTTTGCTATTCCTTTGTTACGATCAAACAGTGACCATAAGGAAATGGAGGTGTAAGAGTTGATATAGCTCATGGGTTACAGTCAATGGAAGACCACGGAAGAATCTGCAGACTTCAGCTAAAACACAGCCTATGAAGAAATAGTCTAAATGCCTTGCTCTTATTGCATTTGTCATAAAGCCTGGCTGAGGGACACCACCACCATTAACAATTAATAAAATGCTCCACAGATTGGGTGACAGGCTATTCCCAAAACAGCGAATATTTTATTTAAACATTTCTATGTCTTTTAAAAACTGTACTTTTTGTCATGTCGTCACACAGTTTGTATATAAAAATTAGCTTATTAATATCTAAACATGCTATATAACATAGGCATGAAGGAGTAGGTGAAACTTTTCTTATAAGCATGTGTCTAATTTTCCTCAGATGCCACCACCCTCTGTGTGCAGTGCTGATTGTGGTCCTGGCTTTAGAAAATTCTGGCAGGAGGGAATGGCAGTCTGCTGTTTTAAATGCAGTCCCTGCCCCGAAAATGAAATCTCTAATGAAACAAGTGAGTATTGAGGCAGTTATAAATCCTTCACTTTCATCATTTCTCCATCTGCTCACACTGGGATGCTGAAGGGGTCTTAAAAGGAATTGCATGTGAAATTTGGTTTCATCTTTAGTAAGTAGTAAAGTTATATGCTTGCCTAAAAAAAATAAGTGACACACTGGAAGACAAATGTCACACAATTTCAATTTTATGTGTAACTTAGAAATGATGAACTTATGGGAGCAGACAGCTGAATTGTGGCTATTAGGCTTCAATATGGGTCTTTTAACAATGGGGAAATGATTGGTTTAAGGATATAAAACTGCAGTTGGACAAAAGGCATGGACTCTGTGATGTGTTGAGGTCTACTGAGAGCATGGTTGAGGCTCTCAGTAAATATGGTTGATGATAAAAGTTGTGAGATAGTATACTTTAAGTGTTCTTAAAAATGATGAATATGTGTGATATAACATGTTAATTGGTTTAATTTAGCCATGCCATTGTGAACATACTGTATTATATATCATAATTGTGCATGACTTTATTTATGAGCTAAATAAATGAATGGAAAAAAAGGAATTGCACAAACAGAATATAATATTTGCCTAGTTTAAGCTTTATGAGAGTATGTTCATTAGCTCTGTCCCTGAGAGAAAATTCCCATGCCTTGACCGACATCTTGACTCATTGTAAATTCATGGCAGGAGGTATTTTCTCAAAGAGGCAGTTTTCATAGTCAATGTGCAGTCTGAGAGAATTTTACACAAGGTCTTTCCAGTGATTAATCTCCTATAAAATTATATGTAGATTAGATTTGGGTCCTGAATATCTCAAATATTTTAATATTTTGCATGTAGGTGTACCTACATGTTTATGCTTGCAATGTATGCATTTGCAACCACAGAGAACAGAATACAACAATGAATCCTCTTTACTATATAATGTGTCTGCTGGTAATCAATTCCAAATCCTCTGTAAAATTCATTAAGATAGAAAATTATTACTGTCCACATTTCAAGAACAGCTAAGAATAGTCAGAAAACTACATGCAATATCCAGAGAAATTTTATCATATTGTTAACTTGATTGAATATTTAGGAAAGTGAGGAAAAGTATTGACACATAATATGAAAAAAAATTTTAATACTTATACACATAACCCAGTAATAGTGTCACAAAATTAGCCACAATTATTTAATCAATATTATCACGTATAAATCCCATATTAATAAATGATTATTTATTAAATATTGACTAAATAAAATGTCAGGCTAATGGGTTTTCACTGATTTTCCCTGTTATTCAATATAATGAATTGAAAGTTCATAAGGGATATTTATGACCAGGGATATGACTCTTCTGCATTTAAATCACTTGACAATAACACAGATAACCTAAGCTCATCTACAGGACCTATGTCTTACAAGGAACTCAATGTAGTTTCATAGAAAATATAATCCAAAGTAATTTAATCAAGTACCTTTAAGTGTTTTAAATGTAAAAACACATGATAATAATGACTATTTATGAAAAATTATCAAAATACCTATATTATTATTTTATTATGTCTATGTATGTAAGGTTGGTGGCTCTGTGCACATAAGGAACCATGCTGGTGAGAGGCATCCAATGCTTCTGTAGTTAGTTTCACAAATAAGTGGGACAACTAAATTTATAATGAGAATTGATTTAAGGTATTTTGCAGGAGTAGTACATTTTCTCACAGTTGAACAAAATTCCCAGACCACTAAACAAGTAAACTAAATAAAGTGCATAAAACATTGTTCTAGATAAAACCATTAAATAGTCAAAGTCCACTATCACTGTCTGCAATTATCCATTAAATTAAAGCAATTACTATATGGTTTTCTACACTTACTATAATGGTTACCACAACATATAAATAGGGTTCTACTAACCAACAAAACATTAAGTGTAAACACTTTGTCTTAAGGGCTCTTGTGTTATGTGTCTAATGCTGTTTGTCAGTATATTCTACACCATTGAGTACAACCACTGAGTATGGATCTCACAGAGATGGAAATTGGGGGAGGAGGAAGATATTTATTATTCCCAAATGGAGCAGAATCAAGATGAAGGGGAATTTTAGTGCTATGTTTGTATATATGGTTCTACTTTGAGTGACAGGTTACAGCTTCTTCTGGACAAGAGTTAGGAGATTTCTGCTGATACTGCCAGAAGAAGACTGAACTAAGGTTGTGTTTATGACTATTTTTATTTTGCAGTTTCCAAACATAATTAATCCTGCACTTTCACCCTGCTGCTTACCCATTGTAATCCCAACAACATTTAAATCATCAGATCTTTTGATACTTATATATGAATAAACCTTTGAATACATACACACTCATAAAAATCGCTGATTATATTTAAAGGTACTTTTATTTAGATGTCTTTGAGCCAGAAAATTTGAAATAGATAATGTATCAGAGGTCAGATCCCAGTATAAGACACAGTCTTCATATCTCATGGGGACAGCATTCACAGAAATGACAAAGACAACACCTCAAGAGGTACTGAATCCATTTGATCTGGGGTTTAAAAACATTTAGAAAAGCTGTGGTTACAGAAAAAAAAACTGATGTGAACAATGGGGAGCACACAGACACCAACATGATAGTTCAGAAATTAGCATAGGAAAAACCCACACTCCTGTACATGGTGTCAGTTAGGAGTCCTGGACAATCTATGGGGCCTCTGGCAGTTGATCATTATTAATCCCTATTACACGAATGGGCTTTGCAGCCCATTCTACATAGAGGGGTACTCTCTCAGCCTATACACCTGGGGTGGGGGTGTAGGCCCTGCTCAAAATGATATGACAGACTGTTAAGATCCCCCAAGGAAGGCCTCACCGTCCCTGGGGAGCAGAAAGTTAATGAGATAGGGGGTTGATGGAGGGCAGGAGAGGAGGAGAGGGAGAGGGAACTGTGATTGACATGTAAAACAAGCTTGTTCCTACTTTAAATTTCAACAAAGGAAAAAATGCTGTGGTTGATGAATTTAGCATTTGCAAATTCACCAATATATGTTATTTCTTCAAAGCTCACCGAATGTTATCATGTCACATGATGGCATCAATACACCTAAATAGACAAAATAATAACTTTTGCTTTTGTTCCCCACATATATAAAGAGCATTATGAAATGGAAGCATTTCTATGCAACAAGGTCCTTCTATGACATTCTCAACAACAAAATGCAGATATTGCAATGTTTCTTTTGTAAATGTAATTGAAATGCCCTATCAATAAAAAGGCTGAAGGTGAATTAAGGAGGCATTACTCTCATCCTCAGATATGGATCAGTGTGTGAAGTGCCCAGATGACCAGTACGCCAATATAGAGCAGAACCAATGTATGCAAAAGGCAGTGATATTTCTGTCCTATGAAGACACTTTGGGGATCACTCTTGCCTTAGTTGCCTTGTGCTTCTCTGCATTCACAGCTCTGGTTCTTGGAGTCTTTGTCAAGTACCATGACACTCCAATTATGAAGGCCAACAATCGGAAGCTCAGTTACATCTTGCTTATCTCACTCTTCTTTTGTTTCCTCTGCTCCTTCCTCTTCATTGGCCAACCCAACTCAGCCACATGCATGTTGCAGCAAATCACATTTGGAGTTGTATTCACTGTGGCTGTTTCCACTGTGCTGGCCAAAACAGTTACTGTGCTTCTGGCTTTCAAAATCACAGCTCCTGGAACAAGAATGAGAAATTTCCTGGTTTCAGGGGCACCTAACTACATCATTGCCATCTCTACTCTCATCCAAGTTACTATCTGTTCAGTCTGGTTGGTAACTTCTCCTCCCTCTGTTAATATTGATGTACACTCTGAGCATGGCCATATCATCATTGTGTGCATCAAGGGATCAGTCACTGCCTTCTACTGTGTCCTGGGATACCTGGCCTGCCTGGCTCAGATGAGCTTCACTGTGGCTTTTTTGTCCAGGAATCTGCCTAACACATTCAATGAAGCCAAGTTCTTGACATTCAGCATGCTGTTGTTTTGCTCTGTCTGGATCACTTTCCTCCCTGTGTACCATAGTTCCAAGGGTAAGGTCATGGTAGCTGTGGAAATATTCTCCATCTTGGCTTCTAGTGCTGGGATACTGGGATGCATCTTTGTTCCCAAGTGCTTCATAATTTTGTTTAGACCAGCAAGAAAAATCTCTTCAAAATATCAAGGAAAATTTACCTTCCAGAACTGATATTTCATTAATTGTAACTCACAATTATATATTTACCTCCTATAAACCAAATACTCAATTATAACTCAAGACTTATCTCTTTTAAGATGACTCTCACTGTTTCCTCTTATAATATAGCCTAGCAATATCATGTCTACTACTGTTGTCTATCATTGTCTCCTATACTCTTTTACTCAGTTACTGAATCCTAAAGACCTAGGTGTTGGACAATAGTGCAGATTGGAAATATTCTTTTCTACTTTAAACTATGAAGTTGTTGAAAATATTTGCTATGTTCTTATTATTTTGATGCCTCAGCAGTTAATACCATGTGACGTTCTTGCAGAGGAAATTAACCAATCTGTATTATCAAAATTCTCTGGAGGGCATTATAGAACAATATATCCAAAGATCAGATGGCCTTTTCTGGGCTTCAATGGTACCTGTGCATGATAACACACACACACACACACACACACACACACACACACACACACACACACACACACAATTATATAAATTTTCAAATACTGGAAAGTATTAAATACTCTGATTTTGTGTTTTGCCATGTCACATTGCTCTTAAGATATCAGAATTAGAAATAATATATAAAAGAAGGATGGGATTTAGAAGAGATGTCTGGGTCTATTTCCGTGCATCTGACATAACAACCTTCAATATTTATTGTTCCATAAGAGGCACATATAGAGAAACAATAAGGGAAGGACAGTGTGATATATTGATGTCTTGTAGTATTATGAATTTGACATGACACTGAGCACATCAAAAATCTCAGCATCTGTCACATTTCTATTAAATAAAAACCTTTGTCTTGATATAGCTGTGTTATAGTAGGAACTACCAGAGACAAATTTTTTGTAGCATAAATATCCATGGTTCCAGGTTATAAGGGTTGGATTTCTGTTATTAACAATAATTTTACTTTCATTTAGAACATAAGGGTGTATTCTTATATACATGCAACAACCACAGAGAAGAGAATACTGCTTCACCCCCCAAATAATGGCATTCTGAATATTATTAGAATATATGTGTTTACTGTGATGTAAATCCAGGTACATCACCTTAACATGAAATGCTATTCATTGCTTTTAATAGATTTCCTTGGTTATTAATGTTTAACTTTGAGAGGCTTACTTCTTTTCATGAGGGTTAAAATGGTGGGGTCATTAAAATTACTGATGAAAGTCCAAAAACTAAAATTAGTAAAAGTTTAAAAACTTAGGAACAGAAAAGTGAAATTCTAATGACTGTGAATGATGTGGCTGGCACCCAAGGTGACCCTCCACCACTTGGGGCAAAATTGCTTTCTGCTAATTTCTGTTCTTAAAATTGTAAAGATTCCACAGCTGAGGGGATAATTGAAAGATTCTTTGATCCCATAACCCGTGCAATCCTGTGCCCTTTCTCATCTTACTAAAATGTATCTTGCTATTTTACTCTGTACTTTGAATGACCTTAAGTACCCATGGAATCACTTAAATTTATGACCTTCAGCCTGATGATTTGCCCCTTTAAAAGCTTCTGTTTTTGGCTGGTTGGTATCTCTTTTCCATGTCATGGAGAAAGATCCAAACTGGCAAGGTTGGAAAATAAAAAGAAAGCTTTTGTATATGCATTAAAATTGTTGGTTCTTTGGGTGGGTCTCTTGGGCTCTGAGAACATGGCACAACAACTGATACTAAGGATGTGTGACCCTGCCTTTCAATTAGGCTGAGTCATATCCAGAAACATTGTATACCATTATGTATTCATATCTTTAGGAAGCTGTACATCATGAAATTTGTCATGAAAATTTATTAAATTCTATTGTGGTTCCCAGACTTTTAAATTGTTAGGTTGGTGATAGTGAGATGTCTGAGCATTGACGAACATGGGCTGGTTTTACAGTGGACTTCTGTTTGTTTGCTATTAGCCATAACTTTTTTCACAATTGAGTGTATCTCATGTTATAGAAGATTTGAAGTGCATAGGCACAATAATTGAATGTGCTACCCACATATGTATGCAGGAAAACACTCATATATAAAAGTAAATATACAGGCAGGGCACAGTTGATCATTGCAATGCCTGGTTAAAATGCTTAAAAATTAGGAACAAAATTCTGGTGTGTGCAGTACCAAAAGGTCTAGAAATATTTTATTCTGGTATATTAGAATTGCTACTGACCCTTTCTCAGACATTACATGTAGGTGAAAATCTAATTATTAAATAATTGATATTGTTTTAACCACACCAAACCCTATCCCTTCCCCTTTCTGCATCCCAGGGAGTGTGATGCCTTCAATTTAGAATCTTCAAATTCTGTCATATCATTTGGAGCATGGCCTAGACACTGCACCATGTGTCTAGGCTGAGAGAGTATACCTCTATGTGGAGTGGGTTCCCAAAGCCCATTCCTGTACTAAGGATACATACTGATCCACTACCAGAGGCCCCATAGATTAACCAGGTTACAGAATCCCATGTGGGGATGTTGTTGTAAACTACAAGCAGGAACCTTTCCTGGTGACGTCCTAATGTGGCAGAGAAATGTGGGTAAGGGTCATGGGTTTTACCCCAGGACCTAGCCCTAGTTGCTGTATGGTACAGATGGAAAGCCAGTCACTCCAACAGTCAGCAATTTATTAGCTAATGGGAGTCATAAGTATTTACAGTGCAGAAAGTTTATTCCAAAGCACACCATAGATTAAAGCTGAATGCCAACAACATCAGAAACAACAGAAAGTCCAAAGCCTCATGGAATAAGAAAAACTCTCAACTGAATTGCTAATGGGTCAAGATAGGAATAAAAAAAAGAAATTAAGGACTATCAGAGTCCAGCTCCGGATGAGGGCAGGGTCTTAAATTAGGCAAAGGCAAGAGCAGGGTCAGGAAAAATCAGGCACTGGATATGACTTAGTTTTGTTTGCTGAGAGATGGACAGAGATGATGCACATCCCTGATGGAGACACAGGCCCCAGAAGGGAATGTAAAGAGAAGACAGGAGATGAAGAGGGCCAGGCAATGAAGGTTGGAAGAATTTTGCACTCTGGCTATTACCCAGTGTTCTTTATTTTTATAGAATTTTCTAAATATGAATATATCTGTGTTGGTCTAAAACATCTCATGACATTTTTGGTTTTAAATATGAGTTTTACTTTCGCTTGCTCATCTTTTATTCATTAATAAACTATGACAGAATTGAGTTAACATTTCCTGTCATTTTTCCCTCAGATTCTCGCATTTTGTTGTTGCTTGATCATATGACAGACATTACAGTGACTGTGCATTTGATAAATTTCTAAACAGTGATGTCCAGATATCTTATTTTTTTATTTTTCCACTCCATTATTTGCACATCAGTACAAGACTCAGTGTAGGGAAGAGGTAACTTCAGCCTATAGTAAGAAGAGGCTTTCATTCTGAATTGTGGCCAACTCCACAAGCCCATTGCATCTTGTTTACCATTTTGAAATTCCTTGTTTTGAAGATCTTCCTTCTTAATAGGTATAGTAACATATCTTACCCTCATAAATAAACCTCTGGATGCTTTATGTTTGTCACACACTCTGATGCTTAATGAAGACCCTCAATTAGATAATTTACTTCCCTAAATGTGGGAGGGTGCTATAGTATGCTCAGGACTTTCTTGGAGAATCTTAGAAACTGTTTCCTTGGGAGAAGGCATAGATAATTCATATGAAATTTCCCATCAATCCAAATTGCCAGAAGGGTACAAATACTAAAAATTACCAAAATATGCAACAGATGGAGATGAAACCAAAGGTGTCATGGAAGCTGGGCTATATGATTATAGCCCAGACTTGCTGAATGCCTTTCAATGAGATGTGCTGGATTTATGGCTTCTGCCATCGTCATTAGATATGGCTGTGCCAAAAGACTTTGCATATTTCAATGAAAATGAATACACAACCTACTTTATTTATGAAACACCATGAAATTGTGCTAAGAAGAAAGTTCATAATACTATGTGCACCCTGCAAGTTGTAGAGATCTCACTTTGGCAACAATACAGCATCTGAAAATTGTTTAACAAAAAGAAGTAATTATCGAAAATGGAAGGAAAAAGCAAGAAATAATCAAGCTTGGAGTTGAAATTAATGAAATATAGACAAATCAAAAGTATAGTATGAAGGAAACAAAGAGGTGGTTCTTTGAGACAATCAACAAGTGAGACATACCTTTACGCAAAATAACTAAAGTTGGTGTAAGGAAATTCAAGGTAACAAAATAAGAAACAAAAATATGGACAAAATCACAGACACCTAGAAAATACAAAGAAGAATTAGAACACAATTAAATCTGTACTCCACCTAACTGGAAAATCTAAAACAATGGATGGTTTTCTCTACAGGTACCAATTACTAAAGATAAATGAAGATCAGGCAAACACCATATGTTTATGTGTAACCAGTAATGAAATAGAAACACTCTTTATAATTACCCACCGAACCAAATCCCATCCCAGATTGTTTTAGCACAGAGTTCTATCTGTGTCTCCCAGCAGGTAGAGATGGGGAACTGCTGGTCCATCAGGTCTCTTCCCTGGGCTGAGTGGAATGGTGACTGTTAAGACTCAGAACCACCCTACTAGTTACCAGGAAGAAATACAAACTCATTCCAGAGACTCGTCGAAGCAGGACCATGCTTTATTCAAACAGGCAGAAACTTATATTAGGGTTGAGCTAGGGAATAGGAACCTTGGGATGGATTAAGGTGACATTAGAATAAAGGCCAAAAATATTTCACCAAGCAGGAAAGTAGGTTGGCAGGGGACAGTCTTATATCAGGCCGTGTTGTGTCACCTCCATACGGAGTGTACAGGCTAGAGAAATGTCACCAAACACTAGCCATGATGAGAATGTTACACTGGGCTTCACATCTTAGCATTTTTAGGCCCAACATATCAGACTTCCAAGGAAGAGATAATATCACTAATCTTTACATTATTACACAAAAAAGAAGCAGAAGGACTTTGATCAATTTATCTTATGAGGTTAAATTTGCCCTGAAATCCAAACCACATAAGGACCCAACAGAAAAAGTGAATCACAGACTAAT